AAAAAAAAAAGCTTGTGAATCCCCAAAATTTAGGGAAACCAAAAGAGTTAGATGAACTTACAGGTAGACCGCATCTGCTTAAGGCAGTGGCCCTCATCAAGATCGCCCATCTACTCAAGGCAGCAGCATTTTGCTCCCCAATAGCATTCTTCATGGTAGTTTTGGCTGCTAACATTAAGCAAAAGTCACCAACGCTTGGATCTAAGAAGGCAGGTTGACGGGATGAGAATATTGACTTATCGTTCAAGGAACCCGTTGGGAAAGCAAGCATTCTAAGAAAAGCATGTGAGGGTTTTCCTAATATCCACTGCAAATGAAGAACTTTAAATGAGTATATAAACAAGGGAACAAGATGCAACCAACACAATCCCTTAAGGAAAAAAAAACATCACTCTCTCTAAACTCTAAACTTCTAGCTGAATACCTCCAGTACGCTTACAAGCCAGTAGTCACCTTTGGCAAGAGCAGATGGAAGAAGCATTTTCGAAATAAGGTAATGCTCTAGCGTTCCACCATAACCTTCAACAAGTCGGCAAATTACAAGCGCGAGCTGCTCATCCCCAAGATTCTTCACACAAACAGTGACAGCAGATGTGGTATCTCCTCCAAGCAAAAAGAAAGCAATTGCAAGCTCCAACTGATGTTTTCCCAGTAACACGTATGCATTCTTTAAAGCAGCTCCCTTATTTTTATCTTCCTAAACAAAGGAAATGGGTGAAACTTCTAAGCAACTAAACGTTGAGTAACGATGCTCAATAATAAAATACAGAAGACTAAAACTTGGATTACAAACAAATTAACAAAGAAGAGTAACAGTTTCACATCGAGAACTCAACATTTTAAAACAGAGGTAATGTGCAAATGAATTAATAAAAAAAAAAATGTGCTTCTCTTCATCAATTAAGACATTTAAGAGTACTCATGAAACCACCAATTTGAATCTTGTAAAAAACGTACAAGAAGAATATGTGAGAAGGCAAGTTAATAGTAATGAAATACAACAACCCAGTATAATCCCACTAGTGGGGTTTGGGGAAGGTAGAGTGTACGCAGACCTTACCCTAAGGGTGGCAAGTGGGCCGGTCCCGGGCCTGAGTGGGCTTCATGGGCCGGTCTTCACGGTTCCGGGCCCGGGCCGGTCCCAATTTAAACGGGCTTCGCAATCCCAGTCTTCGTGGTCTTTTTGTAGGAACCGGCCCGGGACCGCGCCCACGAACTAATGGTCCCGGGCTAAACGATCCCGGCCCGCGGGCTAAGTGGCCCAAGTGGGCCCGAGGGATACTTTTTTTTTAAATTTTATAGAAATTAGAGAAAAAAAGATGTTAATAAAAATATCTAAGGCAATTCATTGTAAATTTTATTATAGAATTGTGACATAAATTGTTTAATTCAAATTTAAAGACAAAAATATTGTAAAGAGATATTCAAAGCAATGCGTTATAATTTTATTATAGCATTAAAAAAACATGGCAATATCTTTCTTAGTCTTCCTCCCCCTATGGAATGAGCACAACAAGGTGCTAATACCACCATTGAGAAGAAAAAGAAACTAATCAAGATGTGCCAAAATACAAGTTTCATAATACATGTGCATTAAACGTTGAGTTTATAGGGTTTCTATATTTATATGCAACAACCAAACTTTCATACATGTAATTCCATCTAGTTGGACAAGGTTTAGGAACCTTTCTTTCTCTTAGGCCAAATTCATCGCATCTTTTAAAATATTCTCTAAGTCTACTTCAGGAGCAGGACTAGTGGGTGTATCATCATCCGGTTGAGTTTCATCAAAATCTATTTCTTCATCATCATTTTCATCAATAGTTGGGTTACCATAAAGAGCATTCATATATTCATGGTCTAATTGTTCACCGGGTGCAATATTATAGCAAAATTGACTCTCGGTAAATTATAATAAACTATTATCACTATCAAGAATAGCAGGTGTAGGACGGATATGGGGTTTGTTTCGGGGAATTGGGGGAAATAGAGGAGGAACAGAGTGACTACTAGATTCGCCACTCTTGGATTTTCTCTTATTTTTACTAAACAGTTTTTTAAGGAATAGGCCATCTTAATTAATCAAGCATTACAAAGTAAATAAAACAAACAAAACTATAATATTAAAACTTAAGAGTTGGAACGAGTTTACCGAATTGACGAATAACTTGTTGAAAATTGATTATCGTTGAAGACTTGAAGACTTCAATTCAACAACTTCACAATTTTTTCACAAATTGTAACAATAAAGTAAGCAATAATAGCAATTATAGAAGAATTTTAGAGAGAGATTGTGATAGATTGATGATTTTGTAAGAAAAATGAAAGATTGAGGGGGTATTTATAGTTGAAAAAAGGGAAAAAGTGTAATTATAAAAAGTTTAGGGTTAAAACAAAGTTGGGGGGGTTAAATGGCTATTTTATAAATAGCCAACGGCTATTTTTTAAAGGCCAACGGCCAGATTTTTAAATAGCCAACGGTCCAATTTTTTTTTTTTAAATTATGGTCGTTGGGACCGTTTAGGCCCGCCAAGGACCGGTCAGGTCCCGGTCTCGCGGGCTTTTTTTTCAGGAACCGGTCCAGAAGACCGGCCCACCCCCATGGTCTCGGTTCTAAACCGGTTACGGACCGTTTAGGCCCAGAAGACCGGATGGTCCGCGATCCCGGGCCTGGACCGGCCCACTTGCCACCCTTACCTTACCCATACCTTCAAGAAGGCAGAGAGGCTGTTTCCGGTAGACCCTCGGCTCGGAAAAGATAAGTTAATAGTAATGAAATCTTTTGCTTATTTAACCAGAAAAAAGAAAAGAAAAGAGATGTAAATTTAAGTGAAGGTACGAGAAATATAAAAGTAAAGTTTATGCACTTAATTTAACACGCTGTCAGATTTGCTTTAACATTTTCATAAGAATTATCCCAAATGTAGGGCATGGAAAGACAGTACACAAAATCATTTTATAACAACAATACGCTTTACAACATGTTCCTACTTTCCAAATTTAGATACTGGAAAAGAAAATTTAAGAAACAATTCAAGATAAATGGGTCAAAACTCACTCATAAATAATTGGCCAAAACTCGGTAACATTTCTTTGAAAATATTTGTATCAGGCATACAAATAAAGTAGCAGACGTTTAAAAATTACCTGAAAATTGCGTGAAAGAAATGCCACCAGAGGTTTGTCTTTCTCGTCTTTGCTAATCTTGAAAAGGCCCGCTAAAACATGAAGCCTATTCAATGCAATATACAGAAGTGCACATGCCTTGGGATCTCTATTCTTCAAATATTGCTGTCTTGCCAGCTTTTCCATCTGCAGAAAACCCACCTGAGTCAGAGTTGCGATGCCAAATACAGAGGGAAAATGAAAGCTAAGGATATAAGACATTAGTTGTTCCTGTTTCTTTCACCCCCTTCAGAGGAAAGAGCAAGAGTAGCTGCAGATTCAGTTGGAGATTTTGAGATAACACTCTATTATAGGACCTAATCAATTTAAATCGCTACATTCAATCACAGNAAAACTTCGTGGATAATGGGTGCGCCACTCTATCCTTTTCCACTTAAATATTTGAGTTAGTTCGCCAACCAGGATTCAAACTCGTGACATATGCCAACCATACATCCTGTGTTATACTACCTTTTCTGTTGAACCAAAGCCCGGGGACTAAAGATTGGCCTCTTTACTACTGGTCCCGCAGTTCCAATCCACGTGAAAGTAGTAAAAGAAGATTAGCACCCGACTCATTTTACAGCGGAGAGAAAGAGGTTTACTCATAAGCCATGATATACTCAAAATGAGGAACTTCTTACAATAGGCTAAACTTCAAAAAAGAATTAGAGATTTGAATTTGACTTGGCTACTATATTAATAGGGGAAGAAAACACCATAGTGATTATTGAAAAGCTAGTCATATGGAGAGAACATTGTATCGAAGTCTGGTTTTAATAGTAAAATGAATTAAATTCTTGCAATTTGCAAAAACTGCTTTAGGATAATATCATTAATAGGAGAAAATATTCACATCAAAATATGAGAAGAGTGCCACTTAAATTGGATGGAGGAGGTAATAAGGTAGTTAAAATTCGTTACCTCACCGCACTATCACTTAATCAAGAAGAAAAGCTTCTTCTATCATTGAAGACACCTTACAAACAAGAAAAACCCTGAGACATGAGATTATATCATTTTTTTGTAAGGCATGAGATTATATTATCTTCTGCAGCACACCAAAAAATCCATCAATATTTAAGGATAAGAGTTCCTTAATACATAATACAAGTTAACAAGGAAAGGAGTCTTCTCCTCCATTTCGGTTAAATAGAAAAAAGAGTAGAACAGAACCTGAACTCTCCAACCCCCTCACAAATTAGACCCAGCAAACATGAGTAACCTTAATCACAAAGAAGGGAGAGGATGGATCACCAACATAAACACACAACTTAGAACCAAAAAGTATTCCTAATTATATTTATGCACCAGAAAATCTGGGGAAAAATTGCAAGAATTTTCCAGAACAAAGAGCCACATTCCCTTATCACAACCAAAAATGGCAAACTTATGACGAAGAGCATTCATACTTGCGGAGAACTATCACCCAAAATTTATACAGTTGAAAGAAAAATTCAAGTGATGTGACCTCACATTATCTGTTTTGGGACAAATGGAGCATTTCCACCGAACTGAATGTAAGAATGAAATTAAATAGAAGTTGGACGATATAGGCAGAATCACAACTATACAAAGTCAAGACACATCTTCAAGAGTATCCGGAAGAAGTTTTCGACCTCTTCTTGCATTGTTGGGTCACTACTCACTAGGCAGCTGTGGAACATGTTTCTAGTAATTCTGGGCATGAGTTGGACCATGCCAAAATCCATTGTTGAACTCTTGCAACGTTGGAGCAGAGAGGGGCCTAGTAAGAAATCTCTAAGAACTTGGAATACATACCTCAGGCCATTTGGTGGACTGTCTGGCTTGAAAGAAACAACAGAAATTTTTTGAAGGCACAACAAGAAACATTCACAGCCTTAAACAGAGATTTTTTTTTTTTTTG